GAATGCGAGTCAACAAACGCAATGACATGGCCTTTGACCCGTGACCCATCTTAAAAGGGTTAATAGAAATTATCGAGTGTTTACTCCTGATCATGTTTCAGTAACTGGTTTCCGTTTATGTCTTATTTTGTACCTTTGTGTCTCAAGTGGTTCTTATTTTGGTAAGACAATAACTGTGAATGAGCAGTTAAATGTTGCTATTTTTTGTTTTATAGTTCTGTACTGAAACTATATGTAACATATTCAGCTTCCTGTATATATATTTGTGTGCCAATATTCTGTTTGTTTAATGTTTGTTCGTTCATTTTTAACAACAAAAAACAAATTCTTCTAACCTTTATAAAGTTCAACACGTTTTCAAACACAAAAGTTCACTAGTATTTCAGAAAAGTTATTTCTCCTTGGCTAGTGATATTTATTTTTTCAAGTTAGAAGGGCTTCAGTTCCCATTTTTTCAAATCATGACGTATTTCACCAAAATTTGTATTCGTTGTTCCATCCATGGGTATAAAATATACATATATATTTTGTGGTTCTTATGTAAAGAATATTTCTTCTGCTTTTCAATTAAAATGTTACTGTTTTGCATTAGGACTGGGAAGGAGAAAGAGGTGAGTAGCACCCAACTGTCACCCGTGAAGAAACGGGTGAAAGAAGGAAGTCCACCTAAGTGGGAAATAATACCCCATGCTCACAAAGAAATTGGTAACTATCACATAAACAAAGTGATGGCTAGTAGTGGCACCAAAGAATGCCGTACAAACTCGCATGTTGGTGGAGTCCAGTGGTCCGCTGAAACAAAATCTGGAAGAAACGTGTAAGTTAAAGACTCGTTACTATGTTGTTTATCAGGAAAATGTGCATGATATGTATATAAAATAATTAAATGTTTTCTCACTAAGTCCCCATGATAATTCTATTTTCAGTAAAACATCTTAATGTAAGGTATACAAAATAATGCATTAGATTATAGCAGCATTGTTATGAAACTACCTTTACATTGGATGTTCTGGTTCCCATTATATGAAGTCTACATTTTTAGCTAATATTAATATTTAATCCATTCTTAGGATGAGCCAACCTCTCAACTTTCATTTCTTAAGACAATTACTGAATCTGTTTTGAAATTTTTTTTTTTTTGATACAACTCGTTTTGAATGTTGATTTTTTTGTTCTTGTAGGTGAGATTGATATCTTTCCTTGATGCCTATCTTCTCT